TTCCAGTGCAAAGAGATTGGCCGCCTCTCTTAAACTAACAAACTAAAATCCTTACCCCAGGGTTACATGTAAACCAAATGGAATCAGCCCACAAGGAGATAGTCCAAGAATCCTCCACCCTCAGCACTCACTCTGACTTTAGTATTCTTTGAGCTTGGAGGAAGGACTTCTTTTTATTTTGGTAGTAAGTCAGTCCAAAGTGAACTGTCCTAATAGAGAGGTATACAGTGTACCATTAAACCTTTCTGACTGATGTTTGCAAAACCGTGCCCATCTGGGCTTTCAACAATTTTATGGTGAAGCACATCTTAGCAGAGAAGAAATATAGTGAGTGTGTTCATTTGGTGTCTTGTCCCATGAGTTTCAAAGGAGGTGATTTTGGTGTAGCTGGAGGGACGAATTTGGCCATAGGGTTGAAAAGAAGAATGCTGATGAGCTAGAGGTCAGCCAGCTATTTGGAAAATGGAAGGCTGTAGATAGAAGCTGAGTTCATAATTTCACAGCCTCTAACTGTAAATAAGTGGAGAGATTTTATGCAAGAGCTATTACTGTAGTCGAACAGCCTGTGAAAGAGGCATGGATTATTCATGTTAGAAAATGTACTTTGTCTCAGATATCTCTTTGATAGCAAAAAGTGAAATTCTTTCCCAATTTCACATTTATGTTCTTCAAGGAACTTTGAAGTCAGCGGATTTGGTTTCAGTTATGAGCCTGAAGGTATAGACTTTTTCCTCTGTCACTTTTAAATAAGAAACAAACATGTTAGAGTTAAGGGTGGGATTTAAAGAAAAGTAAGACATTTTTGACCACTGTATGTTAAGCACCCTTTGCTGCTTAGGTTCCCAAGGCTTTTGGAAACCAAAACCAAGTGGTTTTGACCAGACCAAGCCCAAGCAAACTTGCAGCCCCTGGAAAATGGTGTTTCTCTGCGTTGCTATGGCCAATGTCTTAGTCTTTTGTTCATCTCGTGGGGATACAATCACATTTTTCCTTACACCATGAGGTTCATGCTGTTCCTGCTCCTGGTTCCTGATGTGCTCTCACACTGCTGCCCCTGCTTCCTCCCCTGTGGCCGCATAAAATGCAGTCATCTCCACAGTCAATCCTTCAGCTGGCAGGCTCTGTCTGCTAAGGAATAGTAGTGATTTGCAAGCACTGCTCTGCAGCAGCACTTGACCACTGTGGCTGAGGCAGTGCAGCAGCCCTCCTGCCACATCAAGGTCTTGTTGCAGCTCTCAGAGTAACTCAGAGTGGTGCAAATAAACACAGACGCTCAGAAATAGATGACACACAGCCAGTAGCAAGCATTTCTCCTGCTGCTGTCCCCTCTAATAGATGAAGCTTGTGCCTTGTATCTAAGCAACCCCCCTATCTTGATTCTTAATTGACAAACCATCTCCCCTGCTATCCATGTATGGGTGTTGGTATTGACAGTTCTCTGCTTATCTAATTTGGCTAGCCATTTACAGAGTATTGATGGTTTGAAAGAAGCTAAAGCAGCCCCACCTTACTCATACATGGTCTCCATCCCTTGACCTTGCTCAGGGCTGAGGAGCAGGCTTATGTGACATGGCTGTCCCAGAAGTAGCAAGATTTGGGAAGTTCCTGGGGTTCAGCATCCTGCCAAAGCTATGCTTCTCTGCTGCTAGTAGGTGCAGCCAGGGTTCAGGCACACTTCTAGGTGAGGGTGAGTTTCAAAATGAATATGCAGTAGGATGGCAGGTTATAAATCATCTGCAACAAAAACAAAGAGTGAACCAAGCATCCCCAAAGCTATATGGAGGCAACTCGTCCATCATCAGCCCACAAGTTACAGCCCAGGTGCTAACAGGGCATTATATTTATTACCTCATTATTCTTTGCAGTAAGTCAATCCAGCTTTAATTAATGCCCTCTTCTCTTCCTCCAGTCATTGGCCACAAGGCTTTCTTCAGCATTTGTTTTTAAAACTACATGCTGTGCTCAGAAGGGAAATTCAGACGTGCCTGTGTGAAACCTACCTGACATCCTAAATACTACTGGGAAAATTCATGGTGTACTTGGCTGATGGTGTAAGACTTGCCAGAATACCACCTTTTCATCTGCCTGATAGTCTTAACCACTAAATTCCTCTTTAAGGCTATGTGTGTGTGTGAAGTCATAAATCCCACTGCCTTTCAACCTCCTCTTCCTTCAGCTGCAGCTCTCATTTTAGATTTTTCTGTCTGCTGTTCAGTTCCCTCTCTGCAGAAGTGCCCACTCCTGAGGTTCAGCTGATACTGTGGAGGTGCTCTGATGTGAAATGACACAGTTGTAAAAAAATACCTCCCTATTCACCTCTGCTCCTGGGTGGAGAAACAATTTGCTGTTTAATTCTGTAATTGTTCAGCTATGATGATGGTGAGGAAGGCTCTGTAATGTCACCTAAGTTCAAGGATAGTTTCCCTCTCAAAATTCTCCCTCGTGAAAAAAAGTGTGCCAGTAAACTGAAAACCAAATACGAGTTTCTGGAATAATTCTCTTTCTATTGATTCTAGTGTGGCTTTGTGACAAAAATTTGAAATTTGGAACAGGGATTTATGCTTTCCTAAATTCAGCTTGATGATATTATCTCAGTTTCCTAGAGGGTGTAAGAGAAAATTTGAAATGGAAAATGCCTTTGAATGCACATTCCTCCAAACCAAATGCTTTCCACCTCATTTCTGTAGAAATGTTGGAAAATACATCTGGATCAGGACTTGTATTAATATGGCAAATTTGAGTCCAAAAGAATTACATGTTAGGATTTAAAAATTCAGAACATCAAGGATGATTTGAGAAGACTCTTAGAACTGAGTAATGAAGGCAAAACTTTCATAAAAACACAGTCTGGAAGAATGCTCTATCGTGGCAGGACTGTTGTTGCTGTTACTGTCACCAGGAGCACTGCACACCTGGTGGGACATCAGCTTTTGGAGGAGTGGGGCAAGAAGAGCCAAGGGCAAACGTGCCTCTGAGCTGAGGGTGGTCCTCAGTTGGAACTGCTTGGGATATGTATGGGATAATTCCATGAATATGGGATATTTCCATGAAAGTACACTGAGATCATCTCTGCCATGTGGCAGCTTCACCTACATGTGTGTGATACATGTTCGTGCGTGATACAATAACCCCTAACTCATGGAATCAGCTGGGGTTTCAGGGAATTTTGTTGTTATTGTTGTTGTGTGGTTTATGTGTTTGTTTTAAATCATATGTCTTATATGAGAGCATTTTCAGTGATTTGTCTCAGCTTGCTATTTCTTTTTGCCTTCTTAAAAAAGCCTGTACCTAACATTAGAGAAGCAAATGTGCACATTACTGTTTTATTGGTAGCACATCACAGCACTTCCCTGTATGACATGGAGCATGTTCAGTTTTTCCCAGACAGTATCAGTCTGTGTTTCTTGGAGAGGATACTGTATGTATAATCCATCCAGAGACGGCTTTCCCAGTTTCCGAAGTTTATTGCTAATGAGGATGCACATAGGATGTAATCACTGGCAGAGGCCTCTGCTTCGGGGTACAGTGAGGCCAGCAGACAAGTAAGCAGCCAATTTTATCTGGCTGTTTGCTCTCTCTTTTATCAGAGCTGTTTGGCTGGGATTCAGGGGTGTTAGAGTGAACTGCAGAGGCTTTGGCTTGTAGATTTGAGTGACAGAGTGTGAGAGGACATGAGACAAGGCCTAAGAGAAGTAAATATCTGTGTGTTAAGAGAGGCAGCTTCACATTTCACTGAAAAAGCTGAAGCTTAATTCTGTTTTTTTTTAAATCACCAAAGACTACTGGCTGAGCTTTGATAAAGAGATATAGGAAGGCATCATTACAGTTGGGCTTGTCAAAACTAGCATCTATTTGTAATAGATCCTTTAGCCTCATTAATTTGTATTTGCCTTGCTGCCAGTGTGACCACGGCTGCCACAGATAAAAAGAAAGGAAAAATCACCATGTTTTCATATGGCAGTGGTTACTTATGACAGGTGCAGGAAGTTTCCAGTGGGTTGCAATGGATTTTCAGTGACACAAGAGAAGAGCTATTTAGCAGCCAGGAAAATACAGCAATTCCAGACTATTAACAGCCTGCTTTACTAGATTAAATATTAGTTATCTGCCACTCACAGTGAAGTCCTTGACAGCATGTGACACAGCATACTCTCAGCCCCGAAGAACAGTCAGGCTGTGACGTGGATGAGATGATTTTCCTTGCTCTGCTTACGCTGGCGTTGTGCATTGCCGCCAGCTCTGCACAAGTGACAGAGAATTACAGCATTCAGTCTGTGACATGCAGTGGGACACATGGTAGGGGCAGGAAATAAGGAAGCTTGAGGAAGAGCTGTTTGCATGAGACGAGGTCAGAGCCACACTGACAAGAGCTATACTGCTCTGGAGGTGCTGCAGCCGTAGCAAGTTCAGGTGTCCATGCCCGCTACGCTGTCACAGAGAGTTGGGATGGAGGAGGGCACATCCATCAGTTGGATACTTGTTGGATTTTGGTGGTAGGTGAAAGACAACCAACAGTCATTGTAAGCCAAATGGCAATCCTGTTTCAGTTACTGAAGACAAGAATGTATTATGCCTTCTATGAGCCCTTTCCAAACCCTTTCCTGTCTGCTTCTATCCTCTGGCCTCAAGTGGGCTACTTGTACAAGGAATTCTGTGCTGGAGCAGGAGCTGGTATTCATATATTACTGGCACAAGTGTCCACCTCACCTCACTCTTTGCCACCTTGTAACCCCGTATTATTTGAGACAAAGAGGTTCATGTAGCCATATGAAAGAGAGGATAAACTCAGTTTCCTTCTCTTGGTCTGAGGTGTTGTAATCTTCCTCTGGCAAAAAGTAGCTTTGGAACTTGCTTTTTTGCAGTGAGATTTGTTAGTACGTCTTTCCAGGCCTCAGTGGTGGTCTAGGATGTGATCAGACATCCCGAGTCTTCTTCACTCAAGTGTCAATTTCAAAATGTATTTAATCAACTGTAGTGGTTTTTTCTTTTCTTCTGTGCAGTGTTTGAAAATAAAGATAAAATTGTGATCATCATGGAGTATGCAAGTAAAGGAGAGTTGTACGATTACATCAGTGAGAGGCGGCGATTAAGCGAAAGAGAGACAAGACACTTCTTCCGACAAATAGTCTCTGCTGTGCATTACTGTCACAAGGTGAGCAAAGGATTTAATGGTAAAAAATGCTGTTTCAAGGCTGATTACTGGCATATATTTCAAAGCATGTCTGAGGCAACAACATTCATTATTAAGTATCAGAATACATGATTTTATCAGTACAACAGAAGATCTTCATTAAAAGCACTACACTGAACTAGTGCCTTTTTAAAGACTAATGATGCTTTCCTGTGCTATGACAGATACCAGACACACCCTTACTTTAGGCAAACCTTGCATTTTTGCCTTTAAAATATTTCTCCTGACATTTAAAAACTCAAAAATTACAACATCAACTAAAGAACCTCTACAGCTTTAATATTAATGCATTCAAACAAGTGTTAGTTTGCAATTTGAATATACTAGTAAACAACTTTAGAATAGGAGATATATGAAAGAAAAAGCCAAGAGAAAGCTATGAGGTTCATGCATGAGCTTTAGTACATGCTCATTCTGGATAGGTAAAAGTAACTTTACCAGATGTAGCAGGAAAGATACCATTTGCTAATGACCTTACCCATCATGGTATCCACTTGGAATAACAAATCAAGCAATTAAACCCAAGGTAGCTGACTGGCTGTCGTCATGGACCTTTTATTTCTGTTTATGAAACAACTGCATAGAGTCAAAACTTGTTTGAGGCTAAAGGCATTGAGCAGCTAACACAATTTTAATTTGAATTCTTAAAACACTTAAGTCTCTACTTGAATTCTCATAAAAAATGGGATTTCTCAAAGTCCTCACCGCATAGTGCTGAAAAGCTGCAGTGCCATTCCTGATACATTTAATTTTCCCAAGTTTCTGTAAAGAAGGTTCTGACCTAGACCCAGTCTGTTTGCTTCCATCTCTAACATTTACAATCCTTTGGGATTATAACTCCCCCGATCCATGATCCACATGGCTACTCATTGGAGGAATGTGGACTTTTATAGGGGCTAACGTCATTGACAGATATTGGTTTCTCGTGTCTGGGAAGAATATCCTGCTTTCACACAGTGGGGGCAGGATCCAGGATGAAATTCAGTTCTGAAAAGACATGCCCCAGCCCTCTGCCCCCCCCCACCCCCACCCCCTGATGTTTCAGAGTGTCTGTGGGAGGACAGATTCCAGTCATTCTTCCCTTAACCACACACCAAGTGACTAATACAGCGCCTGCCGCTAGTCACTGGGCCATGAGTGTTATGACAGTGAAATCAGCCCTGAAATGTAGATGCAAAGACCACCCTGCCAGCTCACCTTTAATTTTTCCAATATTTTCTTATGCTCTTCCCAATTTTTTTCTTCCTCGTTTCAGAATGGTGTTGTCCACAGAGACCTAAAATTGGAAAACATTCTTCTTGATGACAATTTTAATATTAAGGTAAGATTCTTTTTCTCAGTTTCTCAGAATGGATTTGCATGTTTTATAACATTTTTACCCAAGGCATTAGAAGAGCCATTGTTATGGTAACAGCTACTAAGCAACAGCATCTGGCAAGAGGCTGGAGGTTGGGGGAAGACACCCCTGATTGCCAGTAATGCACACTAAATGAAGCATTGCATACTTTGGAGGTGAAAGCCCTGTCCTGACACACAAAGGCCACGATTCTCAATGCAGTATCTACCCACTGGTAGAAAACAGCACAGCATTTCGTGCAATGGGTCTTATTGTACAAATCATATTATTGATGGCTGCTTCTGAGGCTAGGAAACAACTGTTCTGGTCTACAGGGTTCAAGTGCCTCCTACAGAATAGTATGAATGTTCTTTTGATCATGGCTGGAAAATAAGCAAATAGAGTTTCAAAATAAACCTAGTAAAGCACATGTGCTTCATTAGGAAATGGCCTTGAAACTTCAGACACAAATGTATACTTTGGGTAGTGATGTCATTTCCATGCCAGTTCTCCCCAGTGAAAGCATAAGAGTGACTTTTTTTCCTGTCTTTTTCTTCTATTGTTTATAGCTGTAGCACAAAGTTAAATAATGCAGAGATTTAATTTCCATAGTAATTTCATATATATATATATATATATATACATATATATCCTATCTGTATTCCTTTATAAAATAAGTGTAATTTCCAAATGGCTGAACCTGTTTCACTTTCAACCTTTTTCCTCCTTGGGTAGCTGGATGTAAGGGTGGCTGGATATGCTCATCCATGGACAAACAAGCAGAGGGAGGAACACCAAACAGTTTCTGCTGATGCTTGAGCATCCTTATTTAATTTAAAAAGTAATCAAGGAGCTGCTTGCGTAACCCAGTACCTAAATAGCCTGGGTCTTCCTTTTGTCTCCAGTGAAAACCCTGGGGCTGTAGGCACTGCCTTCTGTGCTTCACAGTGGAGAGATTGCCTTCATTTTGAGCTGATGTGCAATGGAAGTGGAAAGTAACATGTGGTAGCTGCCATCTGTGTAATGCTGATGACAGAAGCTAACTTGGATCAGCTAGTGGATTAAAGACACATAAATATGCGGTTTCCAAAAATAGTCTTTTACAGAAGGCCCATCCAAGGCAATATTTGGATGTTTTGCTGTTAGCATCCAGTGTTGGAGCAGACCTCCCCTCTCCTGTTCCTACAGGGACACTGTCTGCAGCAGCCAGAGCCTTCTCAGCAGTGCTGAAAACAAAAAGTAGCCTTTCGAGGACATTGTATACAAATCAGGCTTCCGCAGGCAGGATGACCTTTCTTTTCACATTACATGCCAAACGATCTTCCCAGCTAATCAGAGAATTCTTGAGAGAAATGAGGAATTTGTGGAATTTGCTAGCTGTGGAGAGCTGGATCTCTGCACTGAGGTCCTCATATGCAAAACCAGTTATTTCCTCAAGCCTCTGAGGAGCTGGTCTTTGTCAGACTGTTCTGCTCCTGCCCCTCTGTCCTTTATGGGAGTTGTTCACCTGTGGGTAGAGTGGAAGGATGGGGCAAGGACAGGTGGCTTTGTCTGGTCTGCACTTGGAGCTGACCCAAGGGCTTCAGAACCACAGATGCATTTCAGCTGCCATAGCAAGTGGCACTGTTGTGGAAGAAATTCAGGTGGCAATGCCTCCTCACATACCTTCCAGTTATTTGGACATGCTTTTCTTGAGGGTTTCCCTTTCCTGACTTGCATTGTGTTTAAACTGCTGTAGGTGTTTTTCATATTTCCAGCCTTTCCTCAGCTACATCTCTTCACTGTTAAGGCTTCTGAGCAGTCAAGGCTGCCTTGGCATGGGGAAGTGGCTTCTTGGCTGCCCCCTAGTCACTACTTGTGCAAAGGGTCTCATGAAACTGAAAAAGACTGAACTCAGGAAGGTATTGGTATTTCATACATCTTACAGTCAATAGTGTTTGAATTTAGATTGCTTCAAGAGATGCATAATGGTATGATTTTTCTTTTTCTCTCTGCTCTCTTTTTCTAAATCTTGTGACTAAGGTCAGCTTTGAATACTTGATGGTAAACATACAGCCACTATTTCCCTGATGCTGAGGTTTTAAATATGTTGCTGTGGTTTCTGTGTTACTTGCACAGAATTTTACTTCCCACTTTTTCTTTGTTTCACTAAACAGTAACCGTTGGCAAGGAAACACATATGGAACTGTAAATTATTTATTAGGAGTAAATTTATCAGGTCCACATTCTGAGAGTACTTACACGTGGTTTGTTCAGGCAGAAGAAAATTGCAGGCATTTGGTATTGACTGAAGGCTTCAAATACTCAGGGGAAGGCATTTTCTAGAAATGGATTGATAGTATTATCTGTACTTTCCTAGTATTTATATTTCATTCAGTGGATTACAAACACAAAATTGGTAGTTTGATTTTAAGAATGATAAAATTAAAGGAATCTCTTCATTCTTGGGTGCAATGTGCAATTAAATACATGTTTCTGATGAAGCCAGTGATCTATGCATTATGATTTAAAAAACATGTCATAATAATGTGAAGAAAAAATATGATGTTGTAAAAATAGATCCCTGTATAGCAGCTTAAATAATACTTTTAAAACAGGGAATAAAGAAGACAAGTAATCCATTAGAAATTATTATCCAACCTAAAAGGGTCCCGAGTCATTTTACTTGTTACTACACTAACTCAGAGACCATTCTTAAGCTTTAGATAATTAAATGAAGGTCATGAAGGAGTGTGGAGACATAAGAAGGAGTTTGTTTTGTTTTTAAGAGCTGTGATGGTGAGTAAAAATCTCTGGAAGCAGAGTCATGTTAGAATACAGCAACAAGGAAACACCAGTGTCTGGAAGCACAAAAAGTACATATTTTGAAGAGTTCTGCATATCCACAGGCCAGAGATGGAGTGCAATGAGAGGAAAAAGTGATCCAATCTGTGGTGTATTACTAGGTTTTTTATGGACTTGTATACAGTACTATTTCCTGGAGAATTGTACTGAAAACAACTAAATGCAGCAGACATAAATGAATCAAATGAGCTTTAAACGCTTGTGAGACTGAGCATCCTTGTTCACAGTAGGGATGAGAACGGTTCCTGGGCTGGGAATTGCAGCTAAAAGAGATGTCTAGCAGAGGTTAATAACCGTGTGATCAACCCCAAAGTGACAGAAGAGTAGAACAATGCAAGTATGACAGTAACATAATCCTGCTAACTGCTCATTCTCTTGGGCTGGTAAGGGGACACCAATCAGACTAACCACTAAAAACCCACGAGGGTTTTGTATATACAGACTAAATGTATGGAATTGGGATTTACTTTGCTGGAAGTCTCACCAAATGCACATATATTTCATTTGCTTTAAGAGACGTAATTACTTCTCTATCTGCACTACAGAGAGACAGATTCTTAAGTGGGATAAAGCTGACAATTTCCATGAGTGTGAACTTCGTGGAATTTACATTCCACGCTTCAACAATAACTTACATCTGGTTTAACATAGCTATCAATAAATATGAAACATATACTCCTGAAGCAAGAGGAATGGAAGTCCACTTTTCTGCTCCTCCCAGTTTAGGAAGTTTTTTTGACTTAGTTCCATTTAAGTGCCAAGAACATGAAGTAATGTTGGCTTCTATTAATCTTGTTTTGGGGGGGCATGACAATTTTAATGGGAAAAGCTGATAAACATCAGTCTGTGAGCATGGGAGTGGATTGTAACATAAATACTCTTTTCCTGAATGGTCAAAATGAAAACATGAATGCCCAAGTCTGAGAGTTTCTTAGAGTGAACAATGGCATGTATCGCTATATGTGTGTGTGTGTGTGTAGTGTGTACATATATATATATATATATATATATATATATATATATATATATAAAATCTCTTTATATATATTCATGCACATCCATATGCATTTTATACATTCCATGGTGTTAAGGGAATGTATTTTCATAAGGAATCACACGGTGCAGTGTTTGTCCTTGTCTTAGCTGCATCCTGAACTAAAATAAAAATCAATGACCAGCACGAATTTTTAACACTGAAATGATCCCATTCTTCCCCTGATTGACAGGGAAGACTTCATAAGGCTTAAAACCAACTTCCTGCAAGCCAGGCAGGGTGACTTGATAAGAAAGTGGAATTTAAGGCAATTAAGTGCAATCTGAGCCATGAGAATATGTTTGCAGTCTGCAATTCAACACCAGCTGTTTTCAATGACATTCCAACCATACAATGAAGATTTTACAAACAGCATGTATTTAAGGGTTGAATTTTCTGCTGTTGGTTGATAATACGCTGTCTGAGGGACTGAGTGGATTCAATCTATGAATGAACATGTTGAGATGAATTAAAATTAATGAACAGAAATCAGCTGCTCTTTGATCAGGATAAATACAGATTGTCAGTGAAACACCTGCACAAGCAGAATATCAAAATAGGGAAGAGTGAAGCAGGAAATCTCGTATCTGACTTGTGACTTTAAAAATTGTGTAAAAAGGATATATAAAAAGTTTGTATTTCCAACGCAAAAGTACCTAACAACTATATATCTATTTCTGCCAGTTCATAAAGCATATATGTGTTCCTGTTTTCATCTCAACTGTGTCATTTTTCAGTGTAACTGTACTAGTTGAGGTAGTAGAGACAAAGACTTAACCTCTTCCAAGAGTTCACTGAACAATGTAATTCAACAGGTATTAGAGGCCTCGATGATACACATTTTAGAAAGCCGAGAGTGAATGATGGTGCTGGCGAGTCCTTTCCTTTCCCACTCACTTTGTGTTCTCATGAATTTTCCCTGGTATAAATTCCTGGGATTTAATTTCTTTCTGGTAGAAAAGACATTAATAAGGTGAAGAAAACCCAGAGAAAACTCCCGTCTTTTATATCTACAATATCTTTTTTATGCCTGTGCTTTATGGCTTTTATGTAGGCATTATGTTGATTGTGGGCAGTAATACAAGTATCTCTGGGAAGCAGAAGCATTTGGGTTTTAAACAAGATGAAAATGAGATGTGTTGCCTTGTGCTATGTTGTATTTTCAGGGACCCCCGACAAGGGAAGGAATGATAAATCTGACTCCATGTTCTTAGAAGGCTAATTTATTATTTTATTATCTATATTATATTAAAGAATACTAAACTCTAAACTATACTAAACTATACTAAAGAATACAGAAAGGATACAGACAGAAGGCTAAAAAGATACTAATGAAAACTCGTGACTTCTTCCAGAGTCCTGGCACAGCTTGGCACTGATCGGTCATTAAGTAAAAACAATTCACATGAAACCAATGAAACAATCACCTGTTGGTAAACAATGTCCAAACACATTCCAAAGCAACAAAACACAGGACAAGCAAATCAGATAATTATTGTTTTCATTTTTCTCTGAGGCTTCTCAGCTTCCCAGGAGAAAATCCTGGGCAAAGAGATTTTTCAGAAAATATGACAGTGACAGTGTAGAGAAACAAAGAAAATGCTGAGGTTGTGGGAGTATTTAGTGTTGCTGTCCTCAGCCTTTGTTTTGTAAGAACAAGAATGGAGAATTGAAGTAAACAAAATATTTGGACCTGATCCTGCACTTTTCTGGAATATTTCTGGAATATTTGGCACTATTCCCAACAGTCCCAAGGGAAGTTTTGTTTGTGTTGGGCAAGCCGGATTTGGGCCTGTTGTTTCCAGTTAGGAACCAGACTTGTGTTTATTATCTCATGATAGACATCTTGTGATAGACATCTCATGGGCTTAACAGCTCAGATTCCTCAGACCCATGTCCCTGAATCTGGAGGAGTGAGTGACTGCCTTGCTTTGCCCCTTGTTCAGGCATAGCTACATTCCAGATGATTTAAAAAATCACTTTCTTCCAGTAATGCTCTAGCTTCCTGCAACACTCCTGCCTCCCTCCTCCTGTTGAATTTGAAGGTCATGGCTTTTGGCTTGCATGAGTGTGATAAGAAGGGTGGTACTTTCTGCTTGCTTTCCTTTTGTATTAGTGACTATACAAGATGAAGAGCAGTCAATGGACAGCAGGCTTCCCAGTATGAGATTGTCTTTGCAGGCATACGCAATTCATCCAGGATAAAATTACCAGCTGATGATTGTACAGTTGGTGGCCTCTCAGTGAATGGACCCAAAGCATCCTTGTTCCTAATCAGGAGGCCTTAACCTGGGGACCCTTCTTCTCTGAGGGATCTTTAGAGAGAAAAGTAAAACCCACATTGAGTTTTCCCTATGGCAGAAACAAATACAGCTAAGTCTTTCCTAATAAAGGATTTTTTGTTACTTTAAGAAATCGTTAATATTACAAATGCCTTATGCAATTCTGTTTACAGATTGCTGATTTTGGACTCTCCAACCTTTATCATAAAGACAAGTTTTTGCAGACCTTTTGTGGAAGCCCACTGTATGCTTCCCCTGAAATAGTTAATGGACGGCCTTACAGAGGCCCAGAGGTAAGAAGGGTCAGTTTTTCTGTGGTGGTATGGGGATGTCTTTGATGATAATGTTCTTAAGAGGGAGTCTTAATGCAAATGTTACTGTACATGTGAGTTCACTTGGGTCTGTCCTGTATTTGAAGTTCTTAAGCTGCTTCACTTTTGTTTACATTGCCTGTGGGTGGTTAGTGAGATGTTAGATACCATTTTGCCCAGCAGTAGTTGCAGCTGGACACGATGCTGCTCTTGTGGTGCTAATGGCATTGAGAAGGGCAGGGATCAACTTTCCTGGGCTTCACACGTATTGTGTCTGTATTTCAGGTTGACAGCTGGGCCCTTGGTGTATTGCTTTACACTCTGGTTTATGGAACGATGCCCTTTGATGGCTTTGATCACAAAAATCTCATCAGGCAGATCAGCAGTGGAGAATATCGTGAGCCAACACAGACCTCAGGTATGAAAAAGGAGGGAGAGCCACGTACTGAGCTGACAGCAGTTCAGAATGGAGCATTTTGTTTGGCCCCTTCCAACATGTTACAGTGTCATTTTAGAATGATGTAAGCCCAAAGAAAAAAATCTCATTCTCCTACTGAGTTCATCTGCTATAAATTCCCATCTGGGTGCAGCACTTTCCAAAAGCCCTTTTGAAATTTAAGTTTTGTAGCAGATAGATTTTGTTGCCTTGCGGAGCTGTAAAGGGCTCTTTTAAGTAGATCCGTGACAGTGGAAGGTCTGTTAGCTATTGCAAGTGGAATTGTTCAGACAAGCTGTAAACTTGTCCAACATACTGGTCAGTCCTCTCACTACACTTGGGCTACCACAAGCAGCGAGAAGGTGAATGGTCAGAGCAACACAGTCTCTTATTAAAGAAGGCAGTCCAAAATCTGAATTAATGCCCCTGTGTTCACATTGGCGTCGAGGATAGCTCATTAAGCAATCATCTGACAGAAGAGTAGCAACTAAGTCTGGCTCATGGATTATAATGACTCCTTCCAGCCTTAAATATCTATCCAAATATTATATTTAAATGAATATTTATCTTGTTTTGGTTGTTTGCCATTCCTTTCAATTTTCTGTCTTCTCTCTCTCTACATGGAAATAAAGCTTTACAATACACAGAAGACGACATTGTTTATGGAAAAAGTAAATACAGAAGCAATAATGTGTAGATAATTTAAAATACCCCAATTTTGTTTTATTTTTCTCTAAGTTTTGTCATTAGAATCAATAGGTTGGTGACTTCCTTCAGTAATATGGAACTATTAACTATCTAATAGAGTATAAACATTAATTTATTGGATAGCCCAGAGTACATTTTCCAGAGTGAATCATATTCTTCTGATAAAATAGTGCTCAGAGGCATTTTCCATCATTGACTGACAGTCAAAGCCTTGTTCCTTTTCACTTTCTCTGTAGTATGGAGCATTATTTTTGCTCATTTGATTGTCTTCACACTTTCAATTTAAACTGACAAACCTAAGAATGCCCATGTTCTAAAAATGTTACATGCCATTCTTCACCTATAGATGCTCGTGGTCTTATCAGGTGGATGCTGATGGTGAACCCTGAACGCCGAGCAACCATTGAAGATATTGCCAACCACTGGTGGGTTAACTGGGGCTACAAGAGCAGTGTCTGTGACTGTGATGCCATGAGGGACTCTGAGTCCCCACTGCTGGCAAGGTTCATTGATTGGCATCACCGTTCTACTGGCCTCCAACCAGAGACTGATACCAAAATCAAGTGCCTTTCTAAGCCCAAAGGTCCTGAAGTCACACTAGAGAGACAAAGGTCTCTGAAAAAATCAAAAAAGGAAAATGACATTTCACAGTCCATCCAGGAAGGAGGAGCTGAAAATGCAACCAAACCAACCTCCAAGAGACCCAAAGGCATCCTGAAGAAAAGGAGCAACAGTGAACATCGCTCTCACAGTGCAGGTTTCATTGAAGGAGTTGTCAGCACAGTGTTACCATCTGCTTTTAAGTTGGAGCAAGAGTTGTGTAGGACTGGTGTGGCCATTAAAAGTGTTGTAGAGGGAGAGGTAGCTGGCAAATATGGCACTAAGCAGTCTTCACTAATGCCAAAAAAAGGAATCTTAAAGAAAACTCAGCAGAGGGAGTCTGGCTATTACTCCTCTCCAGAAAGAAGTGAATCTTCTGAACTCTTGGACAATAATGATGAGACAGTAAACAGTGACACTTCTCCAGGGGTCACAGAGCCATCCAGAAATGGGTCTTACAGCCATTCCTGCAGGCGTAAAGGCATCTTGAAACATAACAGCAAGTATTCTACCAACAGCATTGAACCTGCTTTGATCAGCTCTGACACACCAACGCTGGAGGCCATGGAAGAAATGGTCTTGCCTGGGGACGCATTACCTCGAAGTTACAGTCGCCCTTCCAGCGTAATTAGTGATGACAGTATTTTGTCCAGTGACTCATTTGATTTGCTGGATTTGCAAGAGAACAGGCCAAACAGGCAGAGAATACGGAGCTGTGTCTCTGCTGAAAATTTTCTCCAGATCCAAAACTTTGAAGGACTTCAGAACCGCCCACGGCCACAGTATCTAAAGCGTTACCGCAACCGTCTGGGGGACAGCAGTTTTTCTCTTCTCACAGACATGGATGATGTGACTCAGGTCTACAAGAAAGCCCTAGAGATCTGCAACAAGCTCAACTAGCAGAGGCAAGATGGAAAAGGGAGGGAAGGGAGTTATTTGTGTACCTTTATGATGGAGTAAGCCAGGTCACTGATTTGCTGACAATGGTAGGTTTTGATTCAAAGGAGCTGACTGTACCTACTTAGCTGAACTCCAAGTAAAGTTACCCCAAAGCCATCTCACACTTCTCTAATTTTGTGTCCTCAAAATATTACCTACCTGACCAGAGAAAAACCTTTGGTCTTTGTATCTGTGATGAAAGCACATCAGGAGCTAGCAGACAAAAGCATCAAGACTTGATGGCTCAAAGTCAAAGCTAGACAGAGTTAAAACTGGAAGTGAGGGACACACATTTTGAGAGGTTTGTAATTAATGTTAGATAAGCTTATTGAAGAGATGAGCTGAATTCTTTAAGTCAGATTTGGATGCCTTTTAGAACAAGAGGCTTTATTTCCCTCTGAAGTTATTTGTCTGGGTATTGTGATTGCTCAGTGGGAATCTTTGGCTTGCATTATGCAGGACACCAGGCGAAGTGGTCATCATGGTCCCTTCCAGCAGAGTGACTTGAGAGGTTCTGAACATGTTGTAAGATAATTTTAGAGACTTACCCAAGAAAATCCTCATGAGGTGGTTGTGGACAAGCAATGGAGCAGGCATTCATATCTAGACCTTCCACAGTGACCAGACCCATTGCTCTTCAGTGGGTAGAAAGTTCTAAAATTGTTTCCAACTACCAGCAAAAACAGAGCCACAGAAATGGTAATGGCAACTGGAAGGAATGGATGTTATCAGCAGCTAAATGACCTTTTAAGGCATTTCAATCCATATGTTCAATCTGTGACTCTTTCGAAATAGCCAGCTTGATGAATGCCCAGAAAGAGATGGATCTGACAAAGGGTGCCAACGGTTAACTGACCCTCCAGTCTAGAGTTCAGTCACTATCAGCAAATTGTGCCACCTTGCTGCTACCTTGTAGTATTTGGGGGTGACGGTAGTTTGCAACCAGAATGTTAGGTAACAAAAAGGTTGTAGAATGTAGGAAATGGATAGAGGTCAGAAAGTTAATGGGAAGATGCCTTTCTGCAAATGAAAATGTGTTTAGGTTGGTGTTAACAGAGCAGAAAGAACTGAATGATGAAATGATAACGGTAGATTTAATGACAGAGTTAGCATAAAGTTGTGGGGCAGCCTCTATCTAGTGTAGCTGGTACTGAGTGTGCAATGATACTAGTTTGAAAAAAAAAAAAAAGGATATGCATTTGTGTTCTCAGACATATCCAGCCATCCAGACCTTAGGCTTCAACTCCCATAAAGGTACCATGTGGGTCTACTGGATTACCTGAATGTAAGCCTATGTCAGAAAGGCACTGTGTGTTTGACAGGCCTGGGCAAACTGGAATCTTCAGGCCCATTTCAGTCTCATTTCCATGAGCACATAGTCCCTGGCTTTCTTGGAGGTGCACTCGTGTGATTAAATCACAGGTTTCAGCTGATGATGTCAAATGATCCACAGCTGCAAAACTTGTATCCACACTCATACCCAGAGCAGGGGGGCATGGGACAAGTTCTGATCTCACTCCTGCCCTGTAAATGGAACTGTAAGCAGAGTTTGACCCACTGTGTCCCAAATTGTAAAGATGGTGCAGAAACTGAATAGAGTTCCTCTGGGGATTCCTTGGGAATTGGGGATAAGTCCATATATCGATGGCATCTGGGACCAGGAGCAATTTCATTTGCAGATTCCTCTTATTCAGTGTGTCATGGTACTTAAGTCTGCTGGTTCCTCCTAAAAATCAATTGGGCTACTTAGCATAAAGATGAACCAGCTTGAGTTTCCTAAATCAGTTAATCTGTGGAGAACCTTTACCTTTTACTTATCCACTTACACTGGACCAAATTTGACTCTGAAGTAAACGGCGTCAATACCATGAAATCTCTGAGAGATGTACTCTCAGGTGGTCAAGTGAAATCTGGCCCACTGTCATTTGCTCAGGAAGGGCAACTGCAGGTCACAGATGTGTACCTCTCTGTATGATATTCAGACATCTCATCTTCTCTCATAAGCCCTGCATGTGCTCTTTTACCCATCCCAAACCAGCACCATTTTGCAGTGTGTTGATTTAACAGGTTTGCTGTGGTGCATTTTAAAACAACTCAACATAGCCTCCATGGCCTTTCTGAAAAAAGGGTGGATGTGCCTTGCAGCCACAGCTTTTAACTCATGCCCTGGGATGTAAGAGCTGCATCCTCAGCTGGTGTGAGTCAGTGCTCTCCTGTGCAGTGCTGTCCAGTGCATCACGCCTTCCGTGCACATCTAGCACTAGACTTTGAGTGGAGTTATAGAGATTTCAGGATGAAGGGAAGGGAGCTCAGCTGGCTGTGGTAGGGAAGTGAGGAGCACCCTGAAGGCTCCTATCTCCGAGGCTTTTGCCCAGGCCTGCTTCCTTGTGTACAAATGTGAACGAGTGAGTGACTGCTTGCTGCCAAACTGGAAATGTTACGTAGGGATTTACTGGCATGTTACTGGCATGTTACATGTTTACTGGCATGTTATCATTCCTAGAAGAGAAGAAAAAAACTTGACTGCACATTGTTACTATTAGTGTTGTGATTCTTATTTAATTTTTTTTTGTAATACAAAGTCAACTTTTTTATTTGAATTTGTCTTTTTTTTATTTATTGGTCTGAAAGCCATTTCAAAGTTATAATAATATATTTGGTGTAATTTAATTGGTGCAACATTATTTTACAGCTCCAGCCAAAATTGTTTGGTGTTATTTTTTGGGGTTTTTTTTGTTTTTTTCTCCCAATCCTTGGTTGGTTTGAGCTCTTCGAGGCACACAGGGAAAAACGCTGGATAATCACCTGAAGTGTTTGTATTTTTAATCTGATACTGGTTTTTATTAAATAAAATGAAATTACTGTAACTGTGAACTGTCTCTCTGTCTCCCTTTTCTTTTTCACTGTACATCAGCATGAGCCAATGCCAAATGGTAATGAACTTGTCATGCAGAAATACAGCAGCATCTCAGCACTTTGTACCAAGTTGTTTATGCAAACCTCCTTGGCTCATTTGTGCATTTGAATATAATGTGGGTGGCCATAGAGACTCCCTTTCTCTGAAGTATTTGGCACTGCAAAGCAGGCAGGGCATTCAGCTCTAGAAAAGTTTGGTGGAGAACAGTCGGCCAGGGGTTTTCTGTGGGCCAGGTGTGCTGTAGGTGAGACAGAACTGGCTGAGCAGACAGAGCACAACTCATTTGTAGCTCAGAGACAGATGGTCATGGTCCTTTCTCCTCCCCGTCTGGGAAGGAACAGTTTATTGACAATGTTTTTGTTGGTAAAATTTAGGGGGTTTGAGCAGTAATTTGGTCAAAAAAGACTGATGGCCATTCACTGCTGTCGAGTGTGTGTTGAATTTGGTCAGATGGCTTTGAACAGATGGAATAATCAGCTAGTGAGAGGGTAAAAAGGGGAGTGAGTTTTCTTTTTTTGGAATCTCTACGATCGCTAGAAGGCTTTAGATTGTTTTCCTTGGAAAACAAATGGACATCATAAGGGAAGCTGGATGTTAGGTATGCTGGGGACTTGTTAAAATAAAGGAAATGGTTGGCAATGTCTTTGTATTGGCTCTGAGCAGGACACCATTAAGCTTCACCCTTGATGCAGCCAGCCAAGATACCTGTGGTGTATATTCTGCTTTTTTTTAATTATAGGCAGTTTGGATTAGGATCCAAGGTATGGATATTATGAAAAAAGAAAAAGGCTTTAATTGTTCTAATTCATTTTATCTCTCTTGAGCTTTTTAAAACAAGAAGCCATGGCTGTAGCTGCTAGATTACAACCACTTAAAACCCAGTGGGAATAAAGGGAAGAAGCCAAAAATACAGAAGGGTAGGCAGACGTTAATACATTACAAAAGGAATGATTATCTGCTGTGTCCTAATTGAGTCAGGAATTATGAGGTGTATAGTCAAAGTCAGCATGCCTGTTCTTGCACCTGAGGTGAATAAGGTCTAATTGTGCTGGTGGTGGAAAATATACTGCAAGTCTCTTCTGTAACAGCAATTATGAAACAACTTCTTTTTTCTTTTTAACACACTAGTTAAAACGTGAAGCTGAGGGCAAACTATTTGTTTAATTTTAAAAATAATTACTTTTAGAAAGTTCTGGATGGCTGGGCATGATGCATATTTGTGGCAAGCTCTGAGGTGTAATTATGTACATGTTTGTACAGCTCTGATTGTACAGCTCTGATTGCACAGCTCTAGGGTGGGGTGGGAGCTCAGAGTTTTAATTTTCCTATTTATTACAGAAGATAAATGCAGAGCAATATGCCTTAGCTGAAGTTACATAGTCAATCTCTAGACAGACCTGGTCTTCCTTTATGTTTACTGCATAGGCATTCCAGTGGTTCTCAGAAATTGTTGGGTTTTATGGTTTGGGCAAGGCAGGAGCAAGGAAACAAGAGAGGAGCATTTTTAGTTACTGCAGACAAATGAATTTGCAGACAAATTTGTTATTGACTCCATAAGCATGTACAGTAAAACTTTGCAACAGCAGAGCCTCAGTTATAGCTACAGGGTAAGTTGTAACCAGCCTAATGAAGGGAGATATCCGATACTCATGTAAATTTGGTATATATAAGAAGCTTATCAGTTTGATTCGACATTTATCTCTGTGATTCACAGCTCATTTTAATGAGCTGCTTCTGGAGATGAATCTGCAGGAATGCTTTTGTGGAAACAGAGTTATAGAAACTCCGATTTTTGCTAGCATCAGCTCAAGGTCTCTGGTACCTGTTCGAGGGTTACTCATTTCAGGGTTTCAACTGAAAGTTTTACCACAACAGAGAACAAGCTGGGTTTCCACTGCCATTTTTGGTATTTAGAATTCAACTGGAGCCTTTTTTTATTGTCTTGTGGAACTGTTTTTTCCTCCCTTCCAAATCAAGACATCTTTCTCATAAAAGACTGAGTAATTTGGCTGGAGAAGCAACTTTTTTGGATAGATGAGCTGAGCATTTTTGTTTCTGGCTATCTCTATTCCTTACTCTCTGCCCTATATTTCCTGGAATTTTATCAGTGCAGAAAACCCTTTGATTTGTGTGTCATCTGGCCATACAGAGCCCTGAATTTTTAAGGAAATGATATTTATTTGCACTAATGCTTAATTGTTCCTTGGAAAAGCATTTTACAAGACAACTCTCTGAATCTCCAGAAGACTCCTCATATCAGCTCAAGTTCACACTGAGTTTTGCACCAGGCCCAGGGCCACAAAGGAGTTAGGTAGGTGACTGCTATCAAAATAAGGAAATCAGCTGTGGGTGCTGGCTATAGGTGCACTTCTGGGTCAGGATATCACCCAACTTCTTCATTCAGCAAAGCATCTTGACTGCTAGTGTGAACTCAGGTGTTTTTTGGCACGGAGCACCTCTGAAAATCAATACCCAATCTGTCACACAATAAGCACCCTGCACTGAAGCCTTTACTGTCAGAGACCATGTGGGAATGTTGGCATCGACCCGCCTTGACATTTTCTTTTTTGCCTTTTCCCCTTTCACTTTATCCTATTTACTTAACACAAATAAAGTGTGTCTCTCTTTCACATAGTCCAAATCCTGCTTGCTGTCCTGTTTAGCTTTGCTCCACAGGCTGCATAAATCTCCTGTCAGGACAGTGGGTTGAACTTTGTTCCCAAGGTCTTTCTGCAGCTCTAACCCTGGCTGTGGCATCGTTTGGTCTCGGAGGCCATTGAGATCCATCTCTGCAGTGGTAGCTCCAGCACTGGTCCTTTGCAGCAGGCAGCTTTTCTCTAAGAGCAGGCAGCTCTCTGAAACAGGCACCAAGCTGCAGGACAATTACAAAGCTGGGCTGCCAGGGCAAACGGGTTAGACTGACCCAATATAAATCCCCGGAAGTTAGTGGTGAGATTGTACCCTTCCCAGCAGGAATCCACTAAGAAAACTGTTCTCCTTTCATAGGCTGGGGAGATGCTAATGCATTTAGAAATATGAGAAAAAAATAACTGTAGAAGGACTGTCTGAAAAGCTGTGGAGGAGGGAGAATATTTCTTGTGGCTCTGCAGTACATATAGTTTTTTAAGAAACCCTTCCAAATTTTAGCCTCAGAGATAACAGGACAAGACATACTTTAAATAGAACCTAAGGGAAAACAAATTCATAACAGATGCTAGGAAATATGTAAATATATATTTTTATTTACATATAAAGCCCTAGCCCTCGCTTGCCAGGCAAGAATGCTAGGACCAGAGTGTGTGTCATCATCCCAGCTGCCCTGGGAATTGTAAAAAATATTTCTTTAAATGTTCCTTCAAACTCTGTTGTTCTCTTTAGCTGCACGTCCCATAGCTTGATGATTTAATCAGAAGATTTCTTGAGACAAGGGATCTGCTGCCTGAGAAGAGATCTTTGCTAAATTCCCATACAACTGTGTGCCACAAGGAATGTTCAGTTAGCTCCAGCCCTTAGAAACCCCAAGGCAGTTAAGACCCTTGCATTCGCAGGACAAAATTGTGTCAGGGTGGAAAGAGGCAATGGGTAACAGTCAAGTATCCCCAGATGGTGCAAACTGATGGTGACCCAACGTGGACAAGCATCCAGCCTTAAAAACCAAATTCCAAGCATTGTGAAACTGTGACTGGATTGAGTGGGAATGGCTTCCAGCCACACGTGCTCACGATTTGATCTCTCCATATGAGGACTTGTACTTTGTACTTTCAAAAGTAGTGTTAGAAATACCTGTTTCTGAGAAACCAATTTCAGCTGCCTACACCTGAATTTTTGAAACTGATGGCCACCATCGACTCTCTGTGACTTCAGCCTGAACGGTGGTCCCATGTGCTTACAAGGATAAGGCTTACTGGACCTCAGGTTGGACTTTTCAAAACAGAGATACTCAGA